ATTCAAACTGCCGACCCTTTGGTTAGCTGCAGTAGTTCTCATCCACTGTGCCACCACGGCTCCAGTCATATATAACAGACTTTTTAAAATACATTCATTTAAATAAACAATGATACAGTCATTAAAAATATGTTTTTACATTGAACATAATATTTTGTAGCATACGTTATCAATTTAGTAAAGTATATTGAATATTTCCTCATGCCATTTAATATTCTTCCATTACATACTTTTAAATGATTGCATAACATTTCACAGTACAGATACAGTATAAATTCTTTAACCAAGCTTTTATTTTTATATAATTAGGTTGTCCTTTTTTGTTGTTGTTATTTTTTTCCAATTATTCCATTATAAATAAAGCTGAGAGGGGAATTCCAGTAGGTAAAATTTGTACATAATCTTAAATTGTAGATATGGAATTGCTAGTTCAGAGTCTGGATACATACTGTGAAATCCAATTATTTGAACCCACTGTGTTTGAATGTTTATGTCCTTTCACTTTTACTCAGAATAAGTATTATTTTACAAAAATGTAAAAGACAAAATAATCTCCTTTTAAAATTTTTGTATTTGCTTTCTCATGACTTTGAACTTTCATATATTTCATAGACATGTTCATGCATGTTTTAGCCACTTTCATTTCTGATTTTGTGAATCGAACGACTATATATTTACCTAATTTTCACTTGGAAAATCTCTAAGAATCTCTTGTCATCTACCTTATAGACATGTTCCTCATTTTTAATTTATCTTTTAATTCACTATTTTGGGTTTTTAATATTCAAATTTATTTAAGTTTTATACGGTGAAATCAATGAATCTTTTCTTTAATGAATTCTGCTTCGGAATACAGGCTGAATCCTTACCAGGATTAGGTGATGTCAATATTTTGTTTATTTTGCCCACTCTGATAGACGTGTACTGGTATCATTGTGGTTTTAATATGCATTTCCCTAATGGCAAACGACTGTGAACATTTTTTCACGTACTTACTTGCCACTTGCCATCTGCATAATCTCTTAAAGGAAATGTCTTCTTCGTGTCTTTTGCCCATTTCTAACTGGATTGTTGTTGTTTTTTTGTTTTTGTTTTGCTGGTGAGTTTTGAGAATTCTTTAGATAGTCTAGATTACTAGCCTTTGGTTTGATATATAGTTTACAAATATTTTATTCCACACTGTAGCTTTTTCATATTTTTCAAAAAACCTCTTGCAGAGCAAAAGCTTTTAATTTTGAAGTTGCATAATTTATCAGTTTTTCCTTTTATGAATTACAGTTTTGATGTCAAGTCTAAGAACTCTATCTAGACTTAGATTCCAAAGATTTTCTCCTGTGTTTTTTCTAGAAGTTTTACATTTTACATTTAGGTTCATTAATTTGAGTTAATTTTTGCATAAGGCGTGCGAGTTAGGTCAAGGTTCATTTTTTTCCCTGTGGACAGATTAGTGCTCCAGCAACATTTGTTGAAAAGGCTATCTTTCCCCCATTGAACTGCTTTTGGACCTTTGTAAACAATCAGTTGAGCATATATGTTTATGAGTCTCTTTCTGGGTTCTCTATTCTGTTCCACTGATCTATGTATTAGATAATGATTACTGTACTATATAATAAATCTTTACATCAGGTAGATTGATTATTCCCACTTCATTGGCAAATGGTTAAGCACTCCACTACTAGCCAAAAGTTTAGTGATTCGAACGCACACAGAGGCACCTTGGAAAGCAGGTTTTGGCAATCTGCTTCCAAAAGGTCACAATCTTAAAACCCTATGTACACAGTTCTACTGTAGACGCATGGGATGCCATGAGTCAGTATTGACTGGACAGCGACTAACAACAACAATTCTTCTTTTTAAAAATTGTTTTTGCTATTCTAGTTCCTTCGCCATTCCATATAAATTTTAAAATAATCTTATCTATAGATATCTACAAAAATCTTGATGGAATTTTACTAGGAATTGCCTTAAACTTGTATATCTATTTGGGCAGAATTAACATCTTTACTATGGTTAATCTTTTAATCCATGAATATAATATGTCTCTCAACTTATTTAGATATTTGATTTCTTTCATCAGTGCTGTGTAGTTTTCAGCCTACAAGTCCTGTACTTGTTTTGTTAGATTTACACCTATGCATTTCTTTTTTTAAGTGATTATAAATGGTAATATATTTTTAATTTGGTGTCCATATATTCATTGCCAGTATATTAAAAATACAATTCATTTTTGTAGGTTGACATAGTAACCTGTGACCTTGCTGAACTCACATACTAGATCTAGGAGATTTTCTTTGTTTGTTTTGAGTTTGGTTTTTTTGTTTGTTTTTAATAGATTCCTTGGGATTTTTACATAAATAATCATGTTTTCTGCAAACAGGGGCAGTTTTATTTCTTCCTTTCCAATCTGTATGCTTTTTTGTTTGAGTTTTAAAAATTAAAATTTACTGTTTATAAAGTTGAATTATTTACTTCTTCTCTCTCTCTCTGTTTTTATTTTTTTTATTGTGGTGAAAATATACACAAAAAACATTCATCGATACAACAATTTGTATAATACAGTGACACTGATTATATTTTTCATGTTGTGGAACAATTATCACTAGCCTTTTCCAAATTATTCCATAACCATAAACATACACTCAATGCCCCTAAGCAAAAACTCTCCCTTTTCCCCTCCTTTCCACTCCTGGTAATCACTGATAATTTTTGGTTTCTACATATTTGCTTATTTCATATAAGAGAGATCATATAGTTTTTGCCTTTTGCAACTGACTTATTTCACCCAGCATAATGCAGGAAGCAACAAGAGAAGATGGAAGGAATACAAAGACTCACTGTACCAAAAAGAATGGGTTGACGTTCAACCATTTCAGGAGATAGCATATGATCAAGAACTGATGGTACTGAAGGAAGAAGTCCAACCAGCATTGAAGGCATTGGTGAAAAACAAGGCTCCAGGAATTGATGGAATACCAATTGAGATGTTTCAACAAACAAATGCAACACTAGAAGAGCTCACTCATCATTGCCAGAAAATTTGGAAGACAGCTACCTGGACAACCTACTGGAAGACATCCATATCTGTGCCCATTCCAAAGAAAGGTGATCCAACAGAATGTAGAAATTATCAAACAATATCATTAATATCATGCACAAGTAAAATTTTGCTGGAGATAATTCAAAAACAGTTGCAGCAGTACATTGACTGAGAACTTCCAAGAAATTCAAGCCAGATTCAGAAGACATGGAATGAGGGATATCACTGCTGATGTCAGATGAATCTTGGCTGAAAGCAGAGAATACAAGAAAGACGTTTACCTGTTTTTTTGACTATGCAAAGGTATTCAGCTGTGTAGATCATAACAAATTATGGATAACACTGCAAAGAATGGGAATATAAGAGCACTTAATTGTGCCCATGAGGAACCTGTACACAGACTAAGAGGTGGTTGTTAGAAGAGAACAAGGGGATACTCCAAGTTTTAAAATCAGGAAAGGTATGAGTTAGGGTTGTATCCTTTAATCATACTTATTCAATTTGTATGCTGAGCAAAAAATCTGCGAAGCTGGATTATATGAAGAAGAATGTGGCATCAGGATTGGTGTAAGACTCATTAAAAACCTGTGATACGCAGATGACACAACCTTGCGACATCATGATAAATGGACAAAATATTGAAGTTTTCAAGGATTTCATTTTACTTGAATCCATAATCAACACCCAGGGGAACAGCAGTCAAGAAATCAAACAATGGACTGCATTAGGCAAATCAGATGCAAAATACCTCTTTAACTCATTTAAAACCAAAGATGTCACCTTGAGGACTATCATGGATTGAACTGTGTCCCCAAAAAATATGTGTATCAACTGGCTAGGCCATGATTCTCAGTATTGTGTGATTTCCACCATTTTGTCATCTGATGTGATTTTCCTATGTGTTGTAAATTCTACCTCTATGATGTTGATGAGACAGGATTAGTGGCAGTTATGTTAATGAGGCAGGACTCAATCTACAAGACTAGATTGTGCTTGAGCCAATCTATTTTGAGATACAAAAAAAAGAAGTGAGCAGAGAGACATGGGGACCTTATATCACCAAGAAAGCAGAGCCAGAAGCAGAGCACGTCCTTTGGACCTAGGGCTCCTGCGTGGAGAAGCTCCTAAACCAAGGGAAGATTGATGACAAGCACCTTCCTCCAGAGCTGACAGAGAGAGAAAGCCTTCCCCTGGAGGTGGCAACCTGAATTTGGACTTGTAGCCTACTAGACTGTGCCAGAATAAATTTCACTTTGTTAAAGCCATCCACTTGTGGTATTTCTGTTATAGCAGCACTAGATAACTAAGACAAGGACTAAGGTGTGCTTGACTTAAGCCATGGTATTTTCAGTCACCTCATATGTATGCAAAAGAAGGACAATGAATAACGAAAAAAGAAGAATTGATGCATCTAAATTATGGTATTGGTAAAGAATATTGAGTATATCATGGACTGCCAGAAGAAAGAACAAATCTGTCTTGGAAGAACTACAGCCAGAGTGATCCTTAGAAGTGAGGATGGCAAGACTTCATCTCATGTACTTTGGACACATCATCAGGAGGGACCAGTCCCTGGAGAAGGACATCATGCTTGGTTAAGTACAGGGGAAGCTAAAAAGAGGAAAACCCTCAACAAGATGGATGAGATAGTGGCTGAAACAATGGGCTCAAACATATCAACAATTGTGAGGATGGTGTAGGACCTGGTAGTGTTTTGTTCTGTTGTCTGTAGGGTCACTATGAGTCGAATTTGACTTGACAGCACCTAACAATAACTAACAAAAAGTTTCCAAGGTTCATTCATGTTGTGGCATACATCAGGACTTCATTTCTCCTTATGTCTGAGCAATATTTCATTGTATAGATATATCACATTTTGTTTATCCATTCATCTGTTGATGGACACTTCGTTTGTTTCCACCTTTTGGCGATTTTGAAAAGTGCTGCAATGACCTTTGCTGTACAGGTTTCTATTTGCATTCCCGCATGCACTTCTTTGGGGTCTATACCTAAAATTGGGATTTCTGGATCATATGGTAGTTCTATGTTCAACTTTTTTAGGATCGCCAAACCATTTTACACAGTATCTCTACCATTTTACATTCCCACCAGCAATGGATCAGGGTTCTAATTTCTCCACAATTACAATTATCTTATGTATTAACGACTTAGTCCTCATATCAAGGCAGAACAATTGAATGAAGCATAGTTTAATAAAAATCAGAAAGACTTTGGCATCCAACAGATGTGGTTTGGGTTCATAATCAGCCATGTAACTGCTGTTCTTTAACTTCTCTGAGCCCAATTTCCTTACCGATACAACTGAGATATGAGGACCTAAACCATGCAGTAGAATATGTAAACTATCTGTCATGTAGGTAGTCCTTAATACATGTTAGCTCTTCTCTCCTCTCTCAAATTTGAACAAGGCAAGAAACACTCATAAAGAGTAGGAAAATTATTAAATTCATTAGCCTGCATTTTAAGTGTAAATATCTTTTTAAAGTTTTTATAAATTCACATGTCTGTATTATTTAGTGAAATCATGATCAATGGGGCATGTTTCTAAAATTTTAGCTATTTTCAGGAATATGACTGTCTTCCAAAATGTGTCTTTTGGTAGTTCCTTCAGGAACTGAGTAGCTCACGTTTCTGACTTTGCATGGCTTTTCTGTACATGTAAAAGCCAAATAGAGAAATACCAATTCCTTCATAAGCTGATCCAGACCCATCCCAGAGATTAGGTTCTACCATTCTTCTTTATGTCTTTATTCCTAGAAAACGCAAGGCCCTTCCTCTTCCAACTGAGATAGTGACTTTTTCTCTCTCCTTGACACTGAGACGAAATCTGAACAACAAATCCAGAATCTGACTCTTTCAATCAAGAATCTCTCTCCATGTTCATAGCTGAGCACTTATGCCTATACGTATGACTGGAGGAAATGGGACAAGAGTAAGTGACTTTATCCTTATGAGCTTCTCTTCCCTACCTACTGAAATACAGTCATTACTCTTCATGACATTTCTGGTCTTTTACCTCATCACTCTGACAGGAAATAGCCTCATCATTCTGGTTACCTTGACTGACCCCATGTTGCACAGTCCCATGTACTTCTTCCTTAGGAATTTGTCCTTCTTAGAGATTGTCTTCAACCTAGTCATTGTACCCAAGATGCTGGGAACTCTGCTTGCCCGAGACACAAGCATCTCCTTCCTTGGCTGTGCTACTCAGATGTACTTCTTCTTCTTCTTTGGGGTGGATGAATGCGCCCTCCTGGCCACCATGGCATATGACCGCTATGTAGCCATTTGCGACCCGCTGCACTACCCAATCATCATGAACCAAAGGACCTGTGCCAAACTGGCTGCTGCCTCCTGGTTTCCAGGCTTTCCTGTAGGTATTGTGCAGACCATGTGGCTCTTCAGCTTTCCATTCTGTGGCACCAACAAGGTGAACCACTTCTTCTGTGACAGCCCACCTGTCCTAAGTCTGGTCTGTGCAAACACAGCAATGTTTGAGATCTATGCCATCATTGGAACTATTCTGTTTGTCATGATACCCTGCATGCTGATCCTATGCTCCTATACTTGCATAGCTGCTGCCATCCTTAAGATTCCCTCAGCAAAAGGGAAGCGAAAAGCCTTCTCTACCTGTTCATCCCACCTCCTTGTTGTCTCCCTTTTCTATGTATCCTTAAGCCTCACCTACTTTCGACCTAAGTCTAATAATTCCCCTGAGAGCAAGAAGCTGCTGTCATTGTCACATACTGTTGTGACTCCCATGTTGAACCCCATCATCTATAGCCTGAGAAATAATGAGGTGAAGAATGCCCTCAGCCAGAACTTCCACAAGGCTATCAACCTCAGAAACTGCATTCTATAGACATAAAGAGGTAAGACTAGAGTCTACTGAATGAGAAACAATCAGTTTCATGCTTGGGATTCCTCTCTACCTCTTTTCACACCTCCATTGGGAAGAAATTCAGCTGCTGAAACAGCTATTGGAAAGCTCAGTGGAGAGAACAAAGCACAGAAGTAGTTTAGAGCTATCACTACCACCTCCCAAATTCCTCTTCCTATCCATTCTCAACTTACATTCAGTTTTTTTCTGGTGCAATTGGCATTTGACACTTCTATAGCCAGGTCACTTTAGATGTTCACTTTCCTAAAGTGCATCTGCATGATAGACATTGTGGACAGTATGAAATTGCTTGTAATTTGAACTTGGGAACACACATAATGAAAGAGAGAAAAATCCATTAAAATCATCTTATCACTTTCTCTTTTTCTGGGCAAATCTGACTTCATTCACCAGACAGAAAAATCTATGATCCCTCTCAATGTATAGCTCTGCTCTCTGTCTTATTTCAGTTCTCATGCCCTTGAGGCAAAGCTGGTTCTTTAAAATGTATTTAGTGTAGATACAGAAAAGTGGATCAAAAATCCTCATACATTCATTTTGATAACCCCAATAATTATTTCCTTTCCTGCATCAATTTCTCCCAGGAAGACAACCTAAGCTTCCATGGACTCTCTGTCTCGTTTTCAGGTTCTCCTGCCTTATTTAAGTGATTTTATAATCATGGTACTTCTTCCTCCAAAGCTTACAAAGACACACTGACACTAATATAGGTCTTCTTTAACAACAGCAAGAGTCTTGATTATTGTTTATAACTTCATATTACTCCTTTTTGTGGATATACCATAGTTTAACCTATTTTTTGCTTTTACAAATCATGCTGTAGAGAACAGCCTTATGCATATGTATTTTTACGTTTTTACCAGTGTATCTGACAGTTGGAAAACTAGCAGCTGAATTTCTTGGGTAAAGGATAAAAACATAGGAAATTTTGCTATATATTAGCAATTTATCTCCAACATGATTGTGCCATTTTGTATTACCACCAAAAACCCACTGCTACTGAGTTGATTTCAACTCAGAGCGACCCTACAGGACAGAGTAGAACCATCGGGTTTCCAAGGCTATAAATCTTTACGGAAGCATACGGAAGCATACTTCCACATCTTTTTCCCCACAGAGCAGCTGGGAGGTTCCAAATGCTGACATTTTAGTTAGCAGCCAGGTGCTTTAACCACTGCGCTACCAGGGCTTCTTGTTTTGCCACAGCTTATCAATAACACTTGTCATCAAATATTTGTAATTTTTAAATATACTAGGTAAAAACAATAGCTCTATGAAATTTTAATTTTAATGAAATACATTTTGAAGAAAAAGGAAGGAATAGGTAAGTTATGGAAAGTATACATTTCATCCAAACTTCTGAGTTCATAGTTCATTTGATTATCAGTTGATGATACCATTGGTATGCTATTTTCTCTTCTTGAAAAGCTTTTTTCACCTTTATTTTAACCAAATCCATTTCATTTTTCAAGATCCATCTGTGATCCACCAACCCTCATAAACTAACCTCTCTTTTATGCATTCATTTCAAGTTTAACAATACCCAGATGCCTTTGAGCTGATTCTGACTCATGGCGACCCATGTGTGTCAGAGAAGAACTGTGCTCCACATGGTTTTCAATGGCTGATTTTTTGGAAGTAGATTGCTAGACATTTTTTCTGAGATGCCTCTGGGTAGACTTGAACTTACAACCTTTTGGTTAGCAGTCAAGCATATTAACCATTTGTACCACCCACAGACTCTATTTAACAATAGATAAATTACATGCATACCATTCTGTAATTATTTTTACATGTTTATCTTCTCCAATGTACCTTTCACTCTTTGAAAATAAAAACTGCACATTTTTCTGTTATAATATTACATACATATTCCTGAAGACCTTATGTTCTATAAAACTCTACACTAAAAATATTATGGGGTCAAAACTATAGAGATGGTGAAAAGATCCATGGTTGCCAGGGGCCCAGGAGGAGGAGGGATGAATCGGTGGAGCAAAAGAGAATTTTAGGGCAGTGAAACTATTATGTATGATACTGTAATGGTGAACATATGACATTATGCATTTGTCAAAACCCATAGGACTGTACAACATAAAGAGTTAACTAATGTATATTATGGATTTTAGTTAATTCTAACGTTATCAATATTGGTTAATCAATTGTAACAAATGTACCACAGCAATGAAGGATGCTAATAACAGGAGAGACAGTATGCAGGGAGAGGGAGATGTATAGGAACTCGCCATACTTTCTGCACAATATTTCTTTAAACCTCAACGGCTCTAAAAAGTAGTCTCTCTCTTTCTCTGTATATATATATATATATATATATATATA